CTTTCTTTCTTTCTTTCTTTCTTTCTTTCTTCCTACCTTCCTTCCTTCCTTCCTTCCTTCCTTCCTTTGTTTTTCTGTATGTTCAAAACAAAGGAGATTCATGGCAATGTGTCTTTCACTGTAAAGATTTTTTATTTTTAATTTAAACATGAACTGTAGTTTTTGGTCACACCGCATGCATTGGTCAAATTGAGCTCTCGGTTCTACTCAAAAAGTACTAGATTATTTCCGGACGGCTTAGTGCTGTTTGTCCTTCACAATGAAGTCCTCCTGTTTCTCCTTCTCACAGTTCCGCTCAGACGAGGCTGTGTCTGACACTATCTTCCCTTCTTCATATTCAATGTGCACTGAAGAAACATTTTTCAATGGGTTCTAAAATATTTGTTTTGAGTAATTCCATTTTTCAATTTTACTGTTAAAGAAACAAAGATGATCTATTTTGCCTTATGGTTGTCAGTCTTGTTTTTTTCACAAGCATTTGAATCATTAGTAAAGCAATTGCTAAAATCACTCATGTTATTTCTAGCATTGGGAACGCAAGCTGGATAATGCTGAAAGGACTGACAGCAATGTGGTATGGGCAGATTTCTCACAGAAGGTTTTACTGATGAAGAGTTGAATAATTTGAATCCAGTAATTTTTCTTGTCATTCAACTTGGTAGAAAAGTGAATAATTGACTTCCCAGCTTAAAACACTAGTACTTTAGGCATTTGAACTCTTCGTTAAGTCTCCTAGTTGCACAGCTATGGGTAATTTTATGTGACAGTCCTTACGAACACACGTTACTGAATTTGGGAGTCCAGAGGAAGGTGTATGGAAAGCCTGTTTGAGAAGATTTTTAAAATTTATTTTTGAGGCACAGGAGATTGAACCCAGGGTCTTTGCACTGAGCTGCATCCCCAGAACTTTTCTGTTTTTTATTTTGAGACAAGATCCGTGCTAAATTGCCCAGGTAGGACTTGAACTTGCAATCCTCCCGCCTCAGCCTCCTTCAGTGCAGGGTTTATAGGCACACGCCACAGCGCCCAGCTGAGAAGATATGTGTTTAAAGCTCCCTGGGAGGGACTGAAATGTCCAGTTTCCTCTGGTGCTCAAGTTGGGACAGCCATCTTCTGCCTGCCCATAAGTGATCTCTGGGTGGTATTTGGATGTTGCCGTGGAGACTCAGCACGTGGGAGTGGGTGTGCCCAGGAAACAGGCTGCTGAGCGTGTGGACAGGAAGCAGAGTTGCCTGGGCTGAGTTCAGGATGGAGGGGCAGCTGCTCCCGTGTGCAAGCACGTGGGAAAGCGAGCACTCGTGTAAGGCCCCAGGGACTGGCTCACCTGTGAGCCTGGGGTGTGTGCAGGAGGAATGGAGCAAAAGCCCCTGGCGTCCTCAGGAGGGCTTCGTGGCTGAGGGGGTCTTAGATCTTTTCCCCGCTTTTAACTCAGCTTATTTGCTTTCTTACTGTTGAGGTGTGGAGTGCAAGTCCTTTAGCTGGTGTGTGTTTTACCAGTATTTTCACCCAGTCTACAATTTATTTTTTCACTGTTTAGTGTGTTTCTCAAAATAGAAGTCCCTAATTTTTATGAAGTCCAACTGATCAAAATTTTCTTTTGTGGATCGCATTTGGTGCTATATCTAAGAAGCCATCAAGCCCAAGTTGCAAAGATTTCTTCTCTGCTAACCTCTAGAGGGTTTACAGTTTTGAGCTTTACACTTAGATCCATGCCCCATGGAGAATTAGTTTCTGGGCTAGAATTTGTGTCTGACCCCCTTTCATTGTGTCCAGTTGCTCTAGTACCACTACAGGAAAGGCTGTCGCTCTCCACTAACTAGCCTTTGCTCTTTGTCAAGGATTGAATTACTGTCTTTCTTGGGTGCCATTTTCTTTTAAAATGAAGCTTGGCTTAGGAAGGGAACATTTTGGAAGCTGTTCAGGTTGTGATGAGAAAGTTATTTCAAACCTCGCTCTGATGGCCGAGGCTGGGTTCCAGGGGAGGGTGTAGAGCCGAGGCACAGCGAAGACGCGTTCTCTGATTTGACGCCCTGTTGCCGCATCCGGGTGAGGACCCCTCGGCCAGCTTTGCTCCGGGTGACCCCACCCTCTGTGCAGAAGGACTGCATGGTCTTGATCCTGCACCTTCCTGGACCTGTGACGTGTGGTTGTACAGCTTTTTGGGCCTCATCAAGCAGTTAACCATTTTTACAGCTGCGTTATTGTCCGTCTCGGCACCAGTGTGGTAATTTGCAAAGCGTGTCACACGAACAGATATCGTCTGTGCCTCTGTCCCAGCTCCTCTTTGCTATCGACTTGCGGGCCTGGAACCCTTTCCAGCCATACAGCGTCAAAATGTGGGTGCTGTGGGAAGCAGGGCTGGGTGACCTGGCAGCGCTCGGCTGTTCATGCAGGGTTAATCTTAATCTTGCACAGAATATAGACCAGGAGCATAGAACAGAAAGGTGTCAGTGCACTTAAATGTAACCTAATGGTAGATGCAATCTTAGGTAAAAATTGGAGGCTTCTTTTCAACTTGAAAATGGTGAAACATTTTGTTTCATCAATCTGTGAAAGGATAATTTTCCCAAAAAAGTAACATTATGACTCCTGAATGTAGAATGAACACGTCAGAGATTTTATTTGACTCACGAAGTAAGTGAGAGCTCTGGAAATGCTGTGAGAGCTGATTCCAAATGCAGAGCAGATATATCTCTAAACCGAGAATGGTGAGGTGAGCCAGCGGTTGCAAAGTGGACTCTGGCTGCAGGGAGGGAGTTAGTGGAGCCCCTGGTAGGCACCGTGCAGTGGTGAGGCATGGAAGAGAGCTGTAACCTCACTGCCTGCCACCGGGCACTGCGCATTCTAAGCTGGGAAACAGCTGAAGGCGATGCAAGGCTCAGGTCAGAAAACATGGACCGGGGAGCTCAGTGCGGTGCATAGTTTCCTAGTGAAAATACTCAGAAAGCATTTTTGCTTATTCCTAATTTCCCTACACATTTTTCTATCCTTCTATTTTTTCATTAGATGAAGTGGTGTTTGTATCAGTTCAGGTGTTGTTGAGATGTAGAGGCCTAGCGGATTTTATAAGTTCTTCTAGAACCCAGGGCTGAGAATGTGAGGTTCTCACTAGGGTTCTGTAAATAAATCAAAAAGAATGGAAATAGGTAAGCATAGATTTGTAAGGTGCAGCCATAGACATGCTCTGTTAAACGTGCTTTACTTCTCTAGGCTGATGTTATTTTCTGTTTTTGGCAGGACACCCCTTTATTTTCTGTCCTTGTTATTGCCTGGACAGCATTGCAGCCTGTGGTCACACTGGTTTTCCCAGCTTGTATTATCTGACATTTAGGCAACGCATGTGCTCTGTCCTTAATCCCTGGGGCAGAATCTGTTATTTCCCCTGGATTCTTCCTTCATATATATCTCGCTGCTCAGGAAGGTCTCATAAAAGAGATGGAGTCACGTTTAAAGTCACAGGAAGTCAGCAGTTACTTTGCGAGGAGTTGCTTCTGTTGCTTTTTCTGTCAACAAGATATTTGTTGCGAGATGGGAACCTGTGTTGTCAGCCGCTGCAGTTTTCCCCAGGTGCAGGCTGCGGTCATTGGAGTGCCCATCTGGAAAGAGGCAGCAGGAAAGGCACATAGAGCTCGGTGCTAGAGCTCGTTCAGGGCCTCATCAGGCCCCCGCTTGCAGTCTGTGCGCACGAGGCCGGGAACTTCGCCTCCTGACCTCCCTGCAGCTCATGCAGGAACAGTGGAGCTACATCCATGTGGCTCAGGTCACCATCTGGGGTTATGAGAGGTGATGAGCCTGCAAATCTGGAATATGTCCCACAGCATAAGGACGATTTTGAGTTGAAGGCACTTAGGAAAATAGCAAATCAAGAAGACCCTTGTGCGTTCTCTCTTTCTAGGAAGCAGGTGATAATGCCAAGGGGAAGACATCCTCCCTGTACCCAGAGGACAGCAGCCTTCTTCTCACTAAAGACAAGGTATGGGTAGATTTCCCATTGCTGGTGCAAAACATCTAACGCCCACAACTTAAAGGACAGCTTTACTTGGGCTGCTGGCTTCAGAGGGTCAGTCCAGGGTCACCAGCCCCAGGGTGGAAGTGGCATGGAGGAAGGGCAGCTCAGAGAAAGCTGCTTAGCTCCTATGACCAGAAAGAAAGAGCAGGAACAGCACAGAGAATTCACCCGAGGCAGCCCCAGGGCCACCCCCAGCTCCCTGCTGCCAGCAGACATTCAGCTGTGATGTGGGTAGGCTACTCCCCCAGAAAGGTGGTTCAGTTGAGAACTCCTATGAGGCAGAGGGGAGTTTCTAGCGCCTACAGTTCTGTTTTCCCAGATCATGGCTGCATGTGGGCCAGGAGGGCAGGCTCTGTGTGAGTCTCCTCCCTTTTGGATGGGCCTGGAAGTTGGGGGCTCCTGGGATTCAGAGAGAGGGGGATCTGCCTGTGGTGTCAGCTGGAGTTGGAGGGTTTGCCCTTGACAGGCACTTTTCAGGCCCATGGGTCCCTGCACTGCCGTGGGTATAGCCTCCACCAGTAGTCTTGGGCCGAGCTGATTTCTCCATCAGAGCTGCCTGAGATCTGAGGGAACCTGGAAAAGCTGGGCTTCCTTGTCCAGAAGTGCAGTCTGGCCCACTACTCCCCATGTCCCGTGGAGAAGGGGCACCCTCAGTCTCGGGAGTAGGGGGCCCCAGACACCTGCTTTTCATGGCAGTGGGAACTCAGCTTTCTGGGGGAAACAGACTATCTTGTTTTAGCCAAAAGAGAATTGAGTGAAAGAGTGCTGTGAAACGCCCATGGCAGAAGTCTGGTCATGGCCTTGTCCTTGTAAGTCCCACGTCCAGACGGTCCTCCTTCGCAACATTCAGGGAGCGGCAGACTTGGCCCTTCTGCCCTATCCATTTCTTCCCCCAGGGGACAAAGGACGTGATGATCACAGCTAATGTCACTGGGCAAGCTGTTTGACGAGGGATAGGTGCTTCTGCCTTACTAATCTGGCGGCTGATAATCCATATCTGACCTCAAATGCTCACTCATCCCATCTGGCTAATGGTCAGGTAGAGGCTGCGAGTTTGAGCCCCCCACTGGGCATGGTCGTGCAGTGCCACTCAGGCCCATGCAGACCCACATCCTTGGCTTCTCCCAGTGCCACATGCCCTGTTCCTGCCCCACCTAGGGCTCCACTCACCACCAGCGCAATGTGATCTGTGGCTCTGCTCTCTGGGAGCTCAGGTTAGGACAAATCCTCGCTGTCTGCCGTACTGCTGTCTTCCTGTGGGGAGGGAGCTCCTCAGAGGCCCTGCACTGGGACCCTGAGGTCACCACTTGTCTCTGTGCCCAGCTATTTAGTTTCTGAGAAGACACTTCTCCAGTCATCTCTGCTGCAGGAAGATGGGTTGGTAGATCAGGACAGAGCGTTAATAACTACACACTGTGTGGCAGGCCATGTGGCTTTACCCTGACGGAAGGCAGGAAGGAAGGCCGGGCTTCCTTGGAATACCTGTGCACTGGGGCCCCAGCTTCCTTCCAGAAGGCGTGTTTTATTTCTTCTCTGCATTTTGGTTGCAGATATTTCTTTCTGGCTTCTTACCCGAACCTCAGCCCTCTTTCCCTACCCCCATCTTCCTCTGCGATGCCAAGCTTGGCAGTGCCCTGCATGCCTATGCGTGTCTGAGCTTGGTACCTGTTCTCAGGGAACCGAGCCCGCGCTCCCAGTTCTTCTCAGAATTCAATTTTCTCTGCAGGGCTTCGGAATGGATGCTTGGTACAATGCCTTAGCTCTGACCATTCACTCACTAATGGGATTGTAAGTTTTCCTTTAAGCATGGGAAATTGCCAAAGCAGCAGCGATTTCCATTACTGAAGGATTTGAAATACCTCAAAGTCGAGATAGTTCTTTCCATTCAGTTCATCATTTGAAAGCATCCTACTGCGGAGATTGGCGCCACTGGTTTTGGCTTCTGGAATGAACTTCCAAATCTGATCACTAAAATGTTCTAGAAATGGCACCCCGCTAACCCTCCCACCCAGCCCCCTTGGTGAGGACCTCCTCACTGGCTCAAGAAGGCTCTGTCCTGGCGGGACCTCATCACCCATTTCTTATGTGGCTCATGGCATCTTGGCAGATGCTTAGCGAGCAGGAGGGATGAGTCTCAGAACCTGGTCCTCTCTGTGACCACGGCCCCAGCGAGGCCTGGAGTGAGGGCACTGTGGGCCGCTGTGTAACGGCAACTGGCGACGGCTCCGTTGCACCACAGCCACCCCCTAGGACCCTCGCTGAGGCCGAGAAAGGCCCGAGCGGGGGGCTGACCCAGCCAGGCTCCCCAAAGGTGCCCTCAGGCCAGCATGGCACCCGTGAGATTCAAGCTGAGGCTGCCTTTAGCTGCAGTGGGTAGTACTGCTTTCTGCTTCTTGGCCTCAGCATGGCTGGGCTTTGATGCCAGGTTTCGTTTTTTTTTTGGTACTGGGAGTTGAACTCGGGACCTTGCACTTGCCAAGCAGGAGCTGTGCTGCTGTCCCGCTGAGTTATATCCCCAGCCTTGGTGCCGGTTTTAAACTCTGGCTCCCGTCAGGAAGTCAGGCACCGGGCACGCAGATGGGCTCCCACCTTTCAGGGACTCAGGTGGCTCCACTCACTCGGGGAGCGATGCACTGGGGTTGCACGGTGGGGTTCTGCAGGGGCAGAGTCACTCTGGGCAGCAGTCGGCTGGTTTCCCTCCTCTCAGCGCTGTCATTGCCTGGCTGCTTTACTATCAGCTGAGCACCACCCCCTTTCTGCGTCAGCCTGAGGCGGGGTCCTGTTCTTTCCAATTCCTGGCCTGAATGAGGACGTGGGGTGTGGAGCCAGAAAATATGTGTTCTGCTTTTTCCCCTCTTTGGGAAGTATAAAACTGAAACTCAGAAGTTCAGTTTTGCTGGTTTTTAACACCACAGGGTAAGCGCTAGGACAGGAAATCCTGCCTCATTCCATGTCCTCCTTCTCTTCCTGAAAGGGATGAAGGCCTCAATCTGACTGGAACTCCACAGGGACTGAGTCGGGCCAGGCCTGCTGCTCCAGAGGGACTGGGCCCCAGAAGCGATATTCAGGCTCCACACATGCATTTCCCTTCACTTCCTCCCTTGCACTTCTGGGGACAAGAACCAAGCTTGCTCCTTTGTTTTCTGTCCCAAGCAGCAAGCTCCCCTGGGTGGGAGCAAGGTCGGGGCAGTGCCTGGGGTGCGGGATTCAGCGTCTGCTCTGTGGTGTGGGTTCTGGGCAGTGGACTCCATGCAACACCAGGGTTCTCACGTGGCCCCATGCATGTGGTGGTCCCAGCCCAGCTTTGATCGGGTAGCCCTGCCTGGGGTTTGTGGGAGCCTTCACAGATTTGAAGCAAAAGACCCCATTTCTTATGTGGCTCAAGGCATTTGCCAGATGCTTAGAGAGCAGGAGGGATGAGTCTCAGAACCTGGTCCCCCTAAAAGAAATCCTACTTCCTGCCATCAAGGACCATGAGTCAGAAACCACACCCCAACTTTAGCTTGAAAATGACCGAATTACAAGGCAGGTTGGATACCAGTCTCACCCAGTGTTTGTGTGCCAGCAAGGTTGTTACCTGGGAGGAGCCGGGGCCTGGAATTGGATGGGGATGTGTGGGAAGATTCCTCTGGAGAGGAATTTAAACCCCTAGATTTCTTTGGAAATAGAAGTTAGCAATTTCTGCCCAATGGAATTAGTCCCTGCTTGCCAAAAGAAGCTGTGTGACTTGAGCGGGGGCTGGTCTACTTAGCTGCACCGCATCACGTGGCTTCTTCATCTATGTCAAGGCTCGGCACCTATCAGACCCCAGATAGCACGATGTAAAGTATTCCCAACAAGGAGGTGCAGTTCAGTACATTTAGAAAGCACGATCTTGCCACTTCATACCACCGGGAACTTGGAAAACATACAAGGGGATGGATCCTAGGGGCTCTGGAGCAGGTTTGAGAGGCTTCTGGTTTGGGAGGAATTTGTTGAGATGGGTTCACCAGACAGAGTTTGGATCTCCTGTCTTGGCTCAGATTTTTAGAGAGGCTCAAGCACCCCGTCCTGGATTATGTTATTGGCATGCACATGCTCATTAACCAGTAGAAACCCCACACTGTGTCCTGTGAAGCCTGTGTCCTGTCGTGGTAGGAGAGACAGTGGAAACCACCAAGACGCGTGTGCTGCCGACAATGCTGCATTTTCAGCAGAGGGGCAAAGGTCAGCGCCTCCATCCAGTGGAGGAGAATTGAAGTGGTGATTCCTTCCCTTTTCTGTTTCCTATTTGGTATGTGAAGAAGACAATCAGATCACAGAGAATGATGGCTGATTATTGTAAACTTAGTCAGATGGCCCCTCAAGTTATAGCTGCTGTTCCAGATGTCGCTTCCCTGAGCGTCTGGAACGCAGTTATGGAACCGGTGGGTGCTTCCTCCTTACACCTGTTGGCAGAGCTATCAGAGCAGTTTGCTTCCAGCCAGCAGGCCTGACGGTGCACAGGCGTCATCCTGTTCCAGGGAGTCACGTTCTGAACGGCCAGGAACATCCCACGCTGAGAATCCATCCAGTGTGCCGGTGCCCTGTATGGCCAGGCTCAGGATCTGGGGTCCTGCAGTGTTGTGGCTGCTGGCTCCCTGCTGCGGCCCAGCACCTTGGGAAGCGGATCATACTGCACACACCAGTGGAAGAAGGCCTAAGCACGGTTTCTACCTAGCGCAGATAGGTTGTGCCTCATCATAAGGTCTGAACACCATAAGCTGGACCGTTGTGATGCCAGGCACCTATGTGTACTTCTAGCCTCACCTCCTGGCTCTTGGCCCCAGGTCAGATCTGGTGCACAGGGACCTCAGTCTCCGATCCTTCCCCAGACGCCCTGTGGCTCTGTTGTGCCGATTGTGCTTGGTGAGCAGCTACAGCGACTGCAGCAAACATCTTGGAAAGGCCCATGTGTGACAAGGGTGGGAAAGGAATCCCACAAACCTCCCAAGGGCAGGGGCAGTCAGCCAGTCCAACGGTGTTGCAGTGTTAGTCTCCAGTGTGTAGGGACACTAGCCCGGGGAGGCCCTGTTGGTGAATGGGGGAGCACAGCTTTAAGACCTGGAGCAAAGTCTGGTGTCCTCTGCAGACAGCTGTTTTTCTGGTGCTAAGCAGTGCGTGCCCTGTCTCTGGGCACCGACAGGGATTGGACACCTGACCATGGCCACCAAATCACCATGAGACCCCAGCTGCCCATCAGGAGCCCGATACCTTCAGGCAGATCAAGCCCTGAAGTTTGAGTGGACATTGGTGATGTTATATGCGAGACCCAAGCAGGTCCTGAAGGGACAGTTGATTTCCTGAACTGCTCATCCACAGGCCAAGGTCACAGCTCTTTCGCGACCTTCACCATGGTTTCTCAGCCCTAAAACCAAAACCGAGGCCGGAAAGTCCCAGTCTGGTTTGCAGATGCCATGCTTGACACTCCTCCCATGGCAAAGCGATCTCCTAGGTCTCCTGGCCTCACTGCGGCCGATCTGGAGAAGAACAGTAGGGAAACGTCCGGGATGTTGAGCAGTGCACCCCGGCTCTTCATTCTGGCTGGAAGGAAAAATGGCCAGGCGACTGGTTCTGCATTGACTCTCATGAATGGTTCATGATTGTTCTCTGCTGTCAGGGAGCAGGGGCAGCAGGACTGACAGGGACAAGGAGGCATGCGGAAGAGGCACATGGCCAGGCTTCTGCAGATGGGCAGAAGGTAACTTCCTTAGTGTAAGTATTTTCCTGGCTTTGTCACTGGAACTCTTTAACTAAGGGTTTACCTCCTTTTTCCTATCCTGTCTTTCTAGCCTGGCTCTGAAATGGACATTTTTCATCTAAGCAAGTTGTCATTTTCTTTTCATTTTTCTCTCACATTTTAAGGCTTGAACTACTTCTTACATGGATTTTCTTTTTGAGTCAGAAAAATAACTTCCCAGAGGTAGAGTTTTCCAGCACATGGTTTCAGAACATCTTTTTGGTGTGAATAACTTGACTGGGACTTTCACCTAAATCGTTGGTATACACCCTGTACCAACCAGCAAAGGACTTGTGCTTCTTTTTCCATATTTTTTGATAAAATATTATTTTCCTGGCCACAGGAATTTTATAGTCATACTCAGGACATAGGTAGTTAATTCAGAACCCAATTAAAGCAACAAGGATAGAGATGATTCTAGATGTGTGTGGTCAAACCCTTCTCCCTTAAACTTTTGTTTTTATCCTTCACTATGGTTCAGAGGAAGCAGAGTGGCCCAGAATTTGTTATAGCATAGGAATACCAAAGTTGCAGACAGCAGACCGAACAGCCCTAACCCTATTCTGGTTAGTTCCCGCCTGTGTTCACATCAGCCATCCATCTCTCCAATCCTAGTTGACAAGTGACTTTTAAAAAAATTTTATCAAGAATTTTTCTTTCTGGTTATGCCTATGTTTGGAGGTTCTGTTGCCCTGAAATAAATCCTTCCAAGATATACTGGGAACCTTTTCCTCTGAGGTCACTACCGAAGCAGGCCACCGCTCTGTCTAAACCCTCAGAAAGACCCTCTCTCAGGTCCTCTCTCAGACCTCTCTCTCCAGAAGAACATATTTCTTTTTGCCCAGTTCTAGGTTCTAGAAAAACCTTTCTTGATCCTGGAATGCACCCTTTCCTTTCTAAATGCCTGCTGTCCTCTGTGCCTCGGTCCCAGGTGGAGCTGTTGTTGGTGCTGACACAGGGCTGCGGCTGAGTTCTCTCCCACGCAGAGAACAGGTAACAGGGAGACAGCGAAATCTACAGGAAGGGGCGGTGCTGGAGTGTGCACTGCACTTTTTCCTGTAGCATGTGTAATGACAGGTCTCTACTGAATATTTCTAAGTCGTGGGTCTGTAGCCATCTCTCCCACTCTGCTCCTCTGAGTGCACTTTCACGTGCCCTCAGCTGCTTCTTGCCTTGGGCAGTTTGCATACTTACCGATCTGCACGTGGTTAACTTTGCTTATTCAGGTTCTATTTTGATAGGACAAAGTGCCTTTCCCTCTCTTCTATTTTTAAATACAAAGCTGAGAGTTGTTTTCTTAACTCTAACAACTCTTTCTGGTTCCCAGTGGGTTTAGCTGTGCTGAAACAGGAGAGAAATTTGTTCATCGTTTAATTATTTTCTTTCCATTAAACTTTTAAAAAATCCATACAAAACATATTCCCAGAAAGTAGATCAAATACAAGCTACATCTCACTAGATGAATAAAATATAGCTGTAGAAGAACAAAAAAATTTATACTGTCAGTTAAAACCAAAAAATTCCATCTAGGTGTGGTGACAAAATCAGAATTAAAGCAACTTGCTGTGGAAACGGTCGTCAGAATTCAAGGAAAGAACACACACGTGTTCAGAGCTCGCCAGGCAGGACTCGTGTTCTTTTCCAGAACAGAGGCCAGAGAGAGGTCAGGACTATTTCATGTTGTGCTTTGATTACCTTGGAGATAAAAGGCTCTGCAGATGCTTGGAGCCCACAAGGACGGCTGAAGGTACTTGGATAAAAGCTGAAGGCATGCAGGGCAGACGAGCTTGCGTTGATGGGAGCTGTTTTAAATGAATGTATCCTGAGGCTTAGAGTGTGCAAGGCGAGTGCGAGGAGAGCCTTCCCGCGGGTCTAGACAGGAGTTCTCGTCTCCGGCCTTCTGGTTCCATCAGTGTAATTTCAAAGTTTCGCCACATGTTTTTCACAGGTAAACTAGAAAGAGTGTGGTTTTTCTCCATCTATAACCAGTAATTTCTTTGGAGAGAATATTTATAAATCACCACTTCACTTTAGGAGTCAGGCTATTATCTGGAACATTTCTTCTCTGAGCAGTAGAATAAGGCTACGGCAACAGGAGTCTTGCCCATTAATTAACCCTCCCTGGGGTGGCTTTTATATAGACCAGCATTTGGTCCAGTTTCCCTCCAAGTTGTGGGTTTGGCTCTGCCTAGTGCTCTGTTTGTAGCTGCCTGGTGTGTTGCTGGGGAAATGATAACGAAGTTATAAAGATAGCTTGGTGACTTCATCCCAGAAGGAGGAAACACAGAGGTGGCTCAGGAATGAGAAAATCCTTTCTAAAGCCACATGTCCTCTTAGGAATGCGTAACAATGGCAACCCCGCAAAACACGTGCCCCCTTCTTGCCAGGGAGCAGTTGGCCTGATAAATTCAAGTGCATTCCTCTGCTTCAAGAGGATGTGTAATAAATTCTCACTCTGAAACTCCCTTAGTATGTGTTTTTAAACTACAATGATAGGCTAGGTCTTAATTCGGGGCTTAAGAAGTCTGTGGGGAGTGGGGGTATTATGAAAAGGAGAGGATGACTGTTCCTAAGACCAGCAGCTCAGCCTTGTTTGGCCCCTGCACCCGAATGCAGAGGCTGTTTCTAGCTTGAGGTTATTTTTTATTTCTCTCTCTGGGTGATGAAAGTTGAACCAGATCCCTGAAGTCTACAGATGTCACTGAGGGTCAGTGTCGCCTCTGTCAGCTTAGGTGGCTGTGACGCAGACGGGCTCAGAGGGCTCTGTGGTCTCTGGGTGTCCAGGGCAGAAGTAGGCCATGGGGACGAAGGGCGCTGGGCTGGCATTTGGCAGAGGGGCCATGCTGTGTGACTGTGAGGGCTGGGGGTTCTGGGCAGAGAGGGGAGCTGGGGAGGACAGGGAGGCAACACATGGTGGCTCTGGGGCTCTGCTCTGGGGTCCCGGCCTTCGTTCTCGCATGTCCCGAAGACCCGTGGTCGAATCGTGACTGCAATCTGGATCCATGTCTCACAAAGTTGAAGAATGAAGTCAAGGACAAGGGAGGGCGACAGGAGGAGTGTTTATGAGAAGAGAGAGGTTGTTCTCAATAGTCCGGAGAGGACCTGAAAGGGGGTTGCCATGGGGACTCTTTGTCTAGGAACTTTTATACCAAAAACTGACCAGGACTCAGACCACTCTGAGTCAAACTAAGGTCTACCTCGAGTCTAATTTATCTTACACTGGAAACAGGCCTAGGAAGAGTCAGAATATGTAGCAGGCAAATGTATGCCGTTGACTCTTGACCACTGTCCTATCTAAGTGGTTCATTAAAAGAACAAAGTGAGAGGAAAAAACACTTCCCAGGTAGGTAGGGACAGGGGTTGTCATAGTGGCCATCCATCCGCCTTGCTATCACCTCCCTTGGTCTATCCTTGGACTTAACCGTCGCCCTGGTTCCTGTCAACTCTGACCTCAGCTCCTGTCTATCTGGTGGCCTGATCATCCTAACTCGAGCGTAGGCTCCCTCCTTGGCTTCCTGCTCTCTTCTGCCTAACTTCCTGTCTATAACAGAATGAGCTCATTTCCTTCTTTCTTCTCCTTGTTGCTCAGCTGGCTTTAGGAGCCTGGCCTAAGGTTGTGTCCTCCTGAGGAATCAGGAAATGACCTCTGTGTGGCAGGAGGCAGTGTGTTCAGGAGCAGACTCTGCCTTGGGAAGGAGGCAGCAATGGGACCACACGCAAGAATCTATAAGGACTGAACCTAGATGTTACATGCTGTAGTGAGGTGCTGGCACCTTGACCTTGGACTCCAGGGAGGTGAGAAACAAAGGTGTGGCTTATTAGCTACCAAGTGTTTGCTGTAGTGTTGTGGCAGCCAAATGCCCTGAGATAAACCCAGAACTGTTTCCACAGAGTTTGAACACCTTCTGTTCCCATCTGCATGGAAGCAGGGCCTGTGGACCCACATCCTCCCAAATACCCCGACTTCCAGAGTCTGAGCTCCTTGGCTGGTATAAGATACCACCACCTCATGTGTTTGCTTTGCCTTCTCCCCATCGCTCCAGGAGAGGAGTTGCATTTCAGGGCTTTGTGGCCATGCACATTTCTTCTTTTAAAATGCATGGGTGGAAGAAGTTTTAGAAAAAGATGAGATGAGAACCTTTCCACATTTTGCATATAAAATCAACTTCAGAGAGATTAAACTTTCAAGTACAAAAAGAATTTATGCTCAGATTAGAATATATAAGTGAAAATATATTTTTGACTTTGATGTAGATTTTCTAAAGCAGACAAAAATACTCTGTAAGACACTGATACATTTGACCACACTGAAGTTGAGAGGTTTTATTCATCAAAGGACAAATTTAAGAGAACGAAAAGACATTTGAAAAAGACTGAAAGAATTTACAATATAAACCATCAACAAACAGTGTCAAATATTGGGATTAAGAAGACCTTCAAGCTGTTAAGAAAGACATGAAACGCCCAATAGTCCAGGTGTGGTAGTGCACACCTGTAACCCCAGTGCTCTGGGAGGCTGAGGCAGGAGAACCACAAGTTCAAGCCCAACCAGGGCAACTTAATGACTTAGTGAGACTCTGTCTCAAAATAAAAAATAAAAAATAGAAAGGGCCTAAGATGTAACTCAGTATAAAGGCCCTGGATTCAATCCCCAACATCCAAAAAATGAAAGAAAAAAGAAAAGTGAAGGGTAAGATGATCTATTTCTTTTCTGTCTTATTATATACATTCTAAAATTATATATATATTAGGAGTATGAATGATTGAGAGTATGAATTTTGAATTTAAAGGAGCTTTTAAAAAATTATCACTCTGGCACATTCTGTGTGGCTTCTGAAAAATTTTCTGAAACTTTAACTTTCTAAGACCCCCATTCTTGATCAGTATGTGCCACTGTGCACTGTGATGAGTGCAGAGCCCTGCAGTAGGTCACTCAGAGGTGGCACATTGACACGGGCTGTGTGGGGAAGCTGACGACACTACCCTGCAAGGAGAAGCCAGACTCTAGAGGCTGCGAACAGTGTGACTTGATTTACAAGAAATGCCCACACAGGCAGACACACAGACAGGAGGGTGGTTAGCGGCTGCTGCAGCTTGAATGTGTCCCCTCCAAAAACCTGAAAACCAGCAAATCATTAGTGCAGTCTTCATTTTGCAATCAGCCTCTGACTTAAGGAAGAAGATTCAAAAGGCTGGTGGGTTTGCTGCAATGAATGCCACTCTGTTACTCCAAACAGCCCAAAAGGCATTTGTTAATCAGGTATGGTAGGAAAAGAAAGAACAACAATGTGAAACAACTGCCAGACCTGCCAAAATGCTGCCCGCCTAGTACTGGAAAAACCTGTGCTTGAGGGACTCCTTCAACCGTATTGTGGCAGCCCATTAAAGGTGCCCCTCAAGCTACACATCCTGAGACTGGTGGCAAGCCCTATGCCCTGGCAGCTGGCCAATGCACTCGCTACAAACAGTTTGGACACTGGAAAGGTAAATGCCCCCTCCATCTGAGGGACACAAAGCAACTTGACTATCGAGGTCCACCCCAGCCCGAACCTCTCCCCCTCTCTTTGATGACAATGAGTAGGCCAGACCAGGCTCTGTCAGACTGGGCCCCAGGAGCCCACAGTCATTGCCAGAATTGGGGTAGAATGCTTGACTTTGATGGTGGACAGTGGGGGGAACATTCAGTTGTGACTCAGCCTATTGCTCCCCTGACCTCTGGCTGAGTCTAGGTCACTGGCACCATTGGAGTCCCCACTGAAAAGAAATTCTGCCAAAGCAGATCCTGCAGGATTGGTGGACACTTCATCAAACATCAATTCCTGTACCTGCCTGAGTGCCCTGTCCCTCTTCTGGGGTGTGACTGCCTTTCCCTCACACTTGGGTTCACTGTCTTGGACCTGATATTGACTCTGACTGTACCCTGAGAGGAAGAATGGCACCCATATCAGCCCGAAATGCCCAATAATCATAACCCTGAAGTTTTGAGACACTCGCTCCAGAAGTATGGGCAGAAATATGGGCAGAGGACTCCCCCTAGGGCTTGCTGTCAATTATGCCTGTTTGGTGATCAAACTCTGTCCCAAGCAACCCACTTTGCTATTAAGCAGCACCCAGTGTCATGAGAAGCTCGGCTCGAATCCAGCACCGCATCTCTTGTTTGAAACAGTTTGAAATCCTGATAGACTATCAATCGCTTGGAACACTCTCCTCCCAGTGAGATAGCCCAATGGAGACTATTGGCCAGTGTAGGACCTCTGTGCCATCAACTCTGCCACCACGACTCTACATTTGGCAGTTCCCAAGCCTTACACTCTCCTGGGTCTGCTTTCCCCTAATATTGCCTTGTTCACCTGTCTGGATTTAAAAGATGCTTTCTTCTGTCTACAGGTCACACCTGTCAGCCAGTTCATATTCACCTTTGACTGGGAGGACCCAGAGACAGAACGAAAAGGCCAACTTACCTGGACCTGTCTTCCACAAGGTTTTAAGAACTCTCTCATACTTTTTGGGGAAGCACTAGCCACTGATCTAGCCCAATTTCCACACACTGATTTTAACTGCACCCTGCTACCATATGAAGATATATGTTGATATGCTGCTCAGATAAATCAGACTACTGGAAGGGAACATAAGCCCTTCTCCACCACCTGCTGACCACCGGCTGTAAAGTCTCCTGGAAAAAGCTCAGATATGCAGGCCAAAAGTGCATTATCTAGGATTCCACCTAGAAAAAGGACTCAGACATCTGGGCCCAGAGAGAAAGGAAGTCATTTGCTCCATCCTAAGACCCAAAAATAAAAGATAGCTTAGAGAATTCCTAGGGGCTGTAGAGTTCTGCCATATATGGATACCAGGATTCACTGAAAAGCCTAAGCCCCTCTATGACGTGCTAACAGGGAAGAAAGTAGAAAGAAAATTGTTAAATTGAACTTTAGAACAAACTGAATCCTTCCAGACCATAAAACAAATACTGTTGACAGCTCCTGCTCTGGGCATCCCTGATGCAACCAGACACTTTAACCTGTTTGTGGATGAACAGAGACATGTAGCATCAGGGGTCCTTATCCAAAAGATTGGTCCTTAGGAGAGCCTTGTTGCATATTTAGATTCTGTAGCTAAGGTCTCCCTGCCTGACAGCATTGGTAGCAACCATCCTCCTGATTAAGGAAGTTGACAAACTGACCTTAGGACAAAAGCTGACAGTTCAAGTGCCACATGCTGTTGTAGAGTTACTTAACAGTAGAGGACATCATTGACTTTCAAGTAGCTGTGTCATTTAATATCAAGGACTGCTTTGTGAAAATCCCCAACTCACTTTTCAGTTGGCTAAACCTCTGAACCCAGCTACCTTGCCCACTGAGCTTGGCCCCCCAACCACAGCTGTCTAGCCTTGACTGATAAACTTTTTGTAAGTCAACCAGATCTGCAGGTGGAACCCTTGTCTGATGCTGAGTACACCCTGTTTATGGATAAAAGTAGCTCAGTCAAGGATGGGAAACGTTAGGCTGGATACACTGCCGTTACTACAGAAGAGGTGGTACTAGCTGGACCTCTTCCTCTGAACTGGTCTGCTCAGTGGGCAAAATTATGAGCCCTGATATAAACTCTCAGCTGGGCAAAAGGAAAGAAAGTGAACATTTATACTGACTCAAGGTAAGCCTTTCTGTACTGTTCATGTCCATGGAATGCTGTACAAGGAGCATGGACCTCTCACAGCAGAAGGAAAACAAATTAAAACCAAGGACAAAATCTGTCAACTTCTTACTGCAATTTGGAAGCCTAAAAAGGTCACTATTATCCATTGAAAAGGGGATCAGAAAGTAAAAGACAGTATTACCCTCAAAAATCACAAGGCAGATAAAGCTGCAGAATTAGCAACTGAGGACTCCACTGGGGAAACAAACGATTTAAAAGAAAACCTGGAAATCCAACATGAGATACTCCCTGAAACCATCCTCAATCTCTGTAGTCAGCCCCTTTGCTATTCCAAGGAAGAAAATAAATGGGCACAACAGGAAGGGGACTACATGGGGCCAAACACTGCCTGGACTTTACCAGATGACTGGATAATCATCCCTCAGAGTCGGGCCTATGCTTGGGTAAAACACCACCACATCACACATGGAGGAAAAACTGCTATGAACCAGCTTTTAACTGCATTCCTAAATTAGGCTTCATCTGTGCCTCCATTAGCCAGAGATGTCAAACCTGTGCAAGGAAGCCCCCATCTGGGCCTAAACCCCCATCCAGTATCCAGCATGCTGGGCTTTCCCCCTTTGAAGACCTACAGATAGATTTTACAGATGTCAAACCATGTAGAGGCTATAAATATCTCCTGATGCTTGTCTCTATTCTGGGTGGCTGGAAGCATTTTCTACAAAAACTGAAAAAGCCACAGGTCTGCAGAGTGCTGCTGAGAGAAGTTATTCCTAGATATGGGCTGCCCCTAACAATAGGCAGTGAAAATGGATCTGCATTTTTGGTAAAAATAACCAGAAGCTGCCTAAAAAATTCAAAATTGGGTGGAACTTACATACAACATACAGGCTACAAAGTACTGGAGGAGCTGAAAGAAAGAATAGGACTTTAAAGTCAATATTGACCAAATATCACCAAGAAACTCAGGCATCATGGATAAATTTGCTTCCCATGGCTCTTCTTAAGGTCCAAAGTTCACCAGGACCCACAGGATATACACCCTTTGAACTTTTGCATGAAGACCTCCCATAATTAGAGGTCTCTGTGAGGCCCTGTATCAGCTAGGTAACATATCTCTACAGGAACAACTTACAGAATTAGGAAAGACCTTTTCCCAGATACACAAAAATATAGCTAAGGCCGTAGATACACCTGCCCATGCATGTAACCCTGATGATATGGTTTGGATATAAGATTGGGAAAAGGAGATTTTACAGCCAAACTGGAAAGGACCTTATAGGTCATACTAACCATACCCACAGCTATTAAGGTTCCAGAAATTCAGCTGTGGCTCCATCATTCTCAGATCAAGAATGCTCATCCAGACGACTGCTGGGAGGCCTACTGAGATGAGTCAACTCCTCTTAAGCCAACCCTGATGAGACAGTGTGCTCAAAGCCCTGCTTCTGCCATTCTGGAAGTTGGCAGGTTTACACAGAGCACAAGCTTCAATGTGGAAATGAATTGCACACAACTAAGCTGTTTGTTCTGTGGGGTGTTGGGACTAATCACCCTAGCTTGTATGTTACTGTCAGTTGGCTTTTGGTATGCCATACCCCCTACTGTACAAAAATGTTCCCTATTGCTCATCTGTATCTGCTCCTACTTGGTCTGCTTGGCCCCCGTGCTTGCCAAGCAGACTCAGAACACTGGGAGTTCTAAACCCAACTTTATGACACCAAACCCCATAGTAATCCTCAACCAGACTAGATGGGATCCCTCCCAGCCTACTATATCTTTATATTTTGATGCACACCCTATTCAAATCAAAGACCCATGTTGCAATTCCTATTTTACAGGGTGCAGAAGCTTAAACTGGGAATGAGAATATCAAACCAATAACAAATATGTCTGTCCCAAATGTTGCCAGGCACCTGGAGGCTGAGGGTGTCTAAGCCACTGTAGGGACAGTCTAGGTTAGTTCTTCCAGTACTGGGACTGCCCCATGGACTACAGAGGATATCCAAATACCCCCTAACCCAGCTCCCATCAAACCCAAAGTGCCAACAAGGAGCTTGCTACCCAATAAGGTACACTGTCCAGAACCCCACCAGCCAAGAATGGACAAATAGTCACCAAATGAGTGTCTGGGTAGATGGTAGAAGAAAAGACCTGGAGATGATCATAAAAATCCAAAATTTTGGATCCCTCTGCCCCATATCAGAATACCTACACCAAAGCCACCACTGTTCCCATTGGCCCCTGAGGCCAAAGTAAACCTTACTGACTCACCAACACCTGACTGCTACACTTAGTTAAAAACACCTACCAAATTCTCCAGATGTTAGATCCCAAATTAGGAAATGGCTGTTGGCTCTGCGTTCCCCTCACAGCTCTTTCCTACTGTGCCCTGAGCCTAACTAAATGGTTCTGGTCTCAGGTCTACCTCCACTTCTGGTCCCTTGCTCCAGTCCCACCCAGCAGTGGTATGGGGAAATGCCTCAAGCTTTCTGAGCTCCTCTACAAAACTGAATGTCTCAGCTGACTGTATAGACATTCAGACTGCCACCTCAGACTCCCTGATGGCACCTCATGGAACCTTTATTGTTTTGTTCTGACAAGGTCCACCGGGTGTTTCTGGGCTCAAAAATGACTCCCTGTGCACTTGCCTACCTCTTGCCTGACTTCTCTGTTTATTCAGGTCAACAGGACAACACACATGCCCATCAGTACCACCAGAAGTATAACCCAGTGATACTTCCAATCTTGGCAGGGGTAAGTACACCAGGGAGTCTGGCCCTTACTGGCACTGCCCTAGGCCTGAGTCAACAACAGTACTCACAATTAGGTACCCAAGTAGAGGATGACTTTACAGCAGTACAGGAAGCACTCAACACACTGCAAGACCAAACTGACTCCCTGGCTGCCGTAGTCCTCCAAAACCACAGGGCCTTAGGTCTCTTTACTGCCCAACAAGGAGGTGCTTGCTTGGTTGTAGAAGAGGAGTGCTGTTATTATGCCAATAAATCAGGTGGTGTTAGGGAGACTGCTCACCATTTGTGAGAATGAATCAACCAGTGAGGCCAGGAAAGACAGACAAACTTCTATTGATGGAGCTCCTAGGAAACTGGGATCTATGGTTGGGAGCTCTATCAGAACCCCTCTTTTCTCTTATCCTAATTCAGATGCTGGGACTTTGTGTTCTACGTTGGTTCACTCGCTTTGTTTCTCAGTGCCTTGATTCCATAAAATTCCAAATATTAGTCAGACAAGGACCCTACCAACATTTAGTGACCACCTCACCACAAATGTATATCCCCCTTGAACATGAACATACAATGTAGTCAAAGACTTGACTAGGTACAAAGAAGAGGAGGGAAATAAAGCAGAAAAAACACTTGCTCCAAGACAGGAGCCCCACGCCCTTCCAGTATCCCTCTTCCCAGCCTTCAGTAAGCTTTCACTCTCTGTTAAGTTTCTGTTTGTCCTCAACTGATGTAACCTCTTGTCCCTGTCTCCGTTGTATGCAAAGAAGGTGGAATTCAGTGTATCATTTGTGGCCTATCACGTAACCTCTAATTTATCTTAGTTATATGAAAAGAAGGTGAAATTCAGTGTAACTTTCTGTCCAATCAACTAACGGTGAAAACTCTGTCTTGTACCTCCTACTTGGTTGTAACCCCTATAAAAATGCTGCTCCCTGAGAGCTGGGGGCTTGGCTCTTTGGTGAAGGATCCCAGACAAGCCCACTGACATGAATAAAGCTGTACGCTTGCCTCCAGAACCCTGGGTGCTGCTTAGTATGTTGGTCTCGACCTGCTGCAATGCTTACTAGGAGTTGTAAACACCTTCTAGGAGCTATAAAGACTTTCCTATGAGCTGTAACACTTCTACAACAATACCAGTGGCTGTGAGCAACCAGGACTTCTCTGTCACCATAGCTGACTGGCTGCTGACAGGAAGATGATTTCCAGGGCACACTGTCATCCCCACTCTGTGACCATCTCCTGCTTTCATTAGTGATCCCAGACAGGCCCTTTGTGAGTGGAAGACTTTTATGCACACACATGCTTGCACACACACATGTGTTCAGCACAAAGGTAAAAGAGAAACTAGAATATACTTCCCAACCAAAGCCTGTGGCAGAGACACAACGAGTCCTGCTCCCCACGAGGTCAGTATTTGGAAGGGAAAGTTGTCACTGGCCAGTGCTGTGTCAGCAGCCGTCCTCAGAGGTGAAGATGAAGACCAACTTCTCTGGGGCACAGCAAGAGGTCAGACTGAGAGGAAAGCCCTGGGATCTGTTCCTCTTTCAGAAACTCAGGCCCAGGGCACCATCTGGACCTTGTAGAGTACAGCCCAGAACACACCACTGTACTACAGTCAGGAAGCAAACTTCTAGAGGATGCACTTTGGTCTCCTTTGGAGGACTTAGTTTCTCTCAGGTTCCCCCAGCTGTGGACTGGAAAGGATTCTGGAGCCCCTTTAACTCTTTCTCAACAACCAGTGCCCTCCCAACCACAGCAAGCACTAACCTGCCCCCACTTTCAGAGCCCTCTGTCCAGGGTGTGAACCCTGGTGCTGCAGACCTTTCTGGTCCACTTCTCCCATTGGGACTGACTCTCAGAAGCTCCAGTTGCCCAGGCATGTGATTCTTCCTTTCCTGAAAAACACGGTGTAGTGGTGAGGAATGGGGTCACTGCATCTGCTGAACAAGTGCTCTCAAGTTGGCCTGGCAGCACTAACTCTTTCTGATAAGAACCGAATCACATTCACTGGTTAGGTTCAATGTTGACCTTTCGGGGAAATTTGATGCTGTTCTTGTCCAGTTTGATTTGTGACCAGAATCATGGAGAGAATTGAGTTCATGAACGGAGTACCACTGCACTTGGCTCACAGTCTGTAGAGGTTTCACTGCAGTCGGCTGTCTCCAAGGCAGGGCAGGCAGGAAGCAGAGAGGGTCAAGGGGTAGAAATCAGGGAGATGCATTTTTCTCAAATCCACTTTGTCTTTTGAACCTAGCACTTTAATCTCCCAATTCCATTTAAACTCTTTAAGTTTTGAGGAAGCCAAATCCTTTCTCTTTCTGAACTTTTTGAAGGATCCTACAAAGAGGAGCAGAGTTGTATAGTGGCTTCACCACTCCTCTCAGCTGCCTCCTTGCCACGTGTGACCCTTGCGCCACATGCATCTCAGTGGACCTCGTGGAGTCCTAGCAGGTGTTGGTAAACTGCAACCAGGCCAAACTGGGCTTTCCCCTCAGCTGTGAAGCAAAGCTTTATTGGAACACAGCTGTGCTCACTTGCTTCTGTGTAGTTCGTGGCTGCTTTCTGACAAGGTGAACTGAGCAGTTGTGACACCTAATGTTTCACAGAGCCTTAATTATTTGCTCTTAGCTGTGCATGGCATTGTGTACCTGTAATCCCAGCTTTCTGGGAGGCTGAGGCAGGAGAATAGTGAGGTTGAGCCCAGCCTGGACACATTAGTGCCTTGGTGAGATCTTGTTTCAAAATTTTAAAAGTAAAATGAAATGTAAAGGGCTGGGGATTTACCATGATCAATCTGTCAATAAAATCTTTGCTCTCTGGCCCATTATATGCAAAGTTTGTTGACTTCTGCTCTTAGAATCAACTTCATCTTTCTTCAAATTCTCTTCTAAGAGTCTATTTTCTACAAAAGTCTGGATCCATTTTTCCAAAGCATTTGATTTTTTGCTTTTGCCTTCATAACAAATGTGGCCGACAATTCGCAAATCATGGGAGGAGGAACAGGAAATAGTGACCAGCTAGGCCCTTGCTGGCCACGCGCTGAGTGCTGGTCTGAGTCTCCAGCCAGGGCTCTCTGGCTGCTCCACTGGTGCCAGGGCCTCTACGGTGTTAGGCCAGCGATGCAGTTAGGGGCCGGGCTCCAGGGCGAGGCATCGAGACAGTGTGGCGGCTCTGCACAAAATGATATGGGATTTACAGCTTACTCCATGACATAGGGAGAAGCCCATTTTCAATGCTCAAGAAGTTTTTGGCTTCTGAGAAGGAGAAAAGAATAGAAAGAGAAGGAAAAGAAGAGGAGGAGCAGTAAGATGGGGAGGAAGGGCACTTATTCTTCCACAGCACAGGCACGGGGTCAGTGATTTCAGCGTGGCAGACTCCGGACACATGCATCGCACCACGGTGCTGCCCACCCCTTCTCCCCTGCCCCCCAGCCCCCTCCTCTCCTCCAAAGATCCCCTCCTCTTTTCAGGCTACCCTCCCTGCCCCCGCATGCTCCTAACTCACCTGCGAGGGAATGCACTCCATGCCCATCTTCCGAATCTGGCTCATCCCCTCAGCAGATGTGCAGGCTGTCCACTGCCCTGCTGATGGCACCAGTCTGTCCTCCTTCCTGGCTGAGCAACACCCCCTCCTCGTCCGCACCACATCGTCTTTTCATCTGCTCGCGGTACGCAGGCCACTTGCATAACTGGGCGATTACGAATTGTGCTGTGATATGCTTGTGTGCAGGCATCTCTACAGTCTGCTGGCTTTGATTCCCTCAGGTACATATAAGAAGTGGAAGATCTGACTTGTATAGTTGTCCTGTGTTTAGTTTTTTAAGGAACCTCCAGACTTATTTCCACAGTAGTTGTATGAGATTCACATTCCCCTAACAGTGCTGAAGGTTTCTTTACCCCTACATCCTTTCCAGCATGTATTTTCTTATATTTTTTTTTTATTGAGAAGTAATTGCTTTTTGTATTCTTGATGATAACCATCTTACTGTCTCAGTGGAATCTCAGTGTAGTTGTAATTTGCATTTCCCTGATGCTAAAGATATTGAACATTTTTTCATACAATTATTGGCCATTTATGCTTTAGTTCACTTGCCCATTTGTTGATTGGGTTTTTTTTTATGTTAAGCTTTAGAAAGTTCTTTCTATATTCCAGACATTAATCCTTTATCTCACAAGTATCTTGCAGAGCGGTTCTTCCATTCTGTGGCTTTCTCTTCATTCTGTTTCCTTGCTGAGCAGGAGCTTTTCAGTTGGATATGATCCCACTGGCCAGTTCTTGCTGTTACTCCCTGAGCTATTGGAGTCCTCATCAGGACCTTGTTGCCAGGGCCTGTATCTTCCAGTGTTTCTCCTCTGTTTTCCTCTATGGTTCAAAGTTTTGGGTCTTACATTTGGGTCTTTGACCTATTTTGAGCAGACTTTGCACAGGTGGGGGGGGTTCCAGTTTTAGACCTCTACATATATAGACCCAGTTCCCAGCACCACGTGTTAAAGAGGCCATCTGTTCTCCATCTTGTTTTGGTTCCCTTGTTCAGAATCAGGTGGCTGTGGCTGAGTAGGTTAATTTTATTTCTGCGACCTCTGCTCCACTTCATGGTCTATATGTCTGTTTTTGTGCTAGTGCCATGATTTCCATGGTTCTGGAGTGCATTCTGAAATTGGGTACTGTGAAGCCTCCAGCCTTGCTCTTTTGCTTAGGCTTGCTCTAGCTATTCTGGACTTTTTGTGCTTCCAAATGAATTTTGAGATTGTTTCTACCAGTTCTGTGGAGAATATCATTGGTATTGTGATGGGAATTGAACCGAATCTGTAGATCACTGTCAGTGATGTGGCCATTTAACATTTTAATTCTGCTGATCTGTAGATGTGGGAAGTCTTTCCTTCTTCCAAGATCTGCGTCAGGTTTCTTTTCTCTGTGTTCCGTTATTTTCATCGTACTGGTCTTTCATCTCCCTGGTTAGGCTTATCCTTTACTGTTTTAAAAACAGTTGTGAATGGAATTATTCTCCTGATTTCCTTTTCAGTGGGTATGCTATTAGTAGATGATAGAGCTATTGCATGTTGATTTTGTATCATGCTGTTTTGCTTAAGTTAAATCTAAAAGTCTTCTGGTTGAGTCTTTCAGATGTTCTGGTTATAGGATCACATCATCTGCAAGCAGAGATAATTGGACTACTTTGTATCCTTTGTATCCTTTTTATTCTTTCTCTTGCCTAATTGTTCTGACCAGAATTTCAAGCTCTGTATTAAATAGTCTCAGCCTTTTGGCTAAGACCAAGTGGAATAGAAGTGGTGGGAAAGGGTCGCCTTGCCTTGTCCCCGATTTGGGGAGAATGTACAGTTCTTCCCCACTCAGCGTGACGCTGGCTGTGGCCCTTGTCATTGGACGCGGCCATCACTGTGCTGACATAAGACCCTTGCCACACCTCAGTTCTTGAGGGTCCTTACCAGGACTGGATGCAGAATTTTGTCAAAGGTTTTCCTGCATCTGTTGACAAGATTGTGTGATTTTCATCCTTGAGTGTTTCTGTGAGGTGTGTTATGTTTATTGATTTGTGTGTGTTGAACCTTGTATCCCTGGAATGAAGCCCACTTGACCATGGTGTTTGATCCTTTTCATGTCCTGTTGAATTCAATTCGCAAGTATTTTACTGAGGAATTTTGCATCTGTCTTCATCCAGGATGACAAAGTTTTCTGGTTTTGTTAGGTCTTTATCCAGTGTGGGATCAGAGTGATACTGGTGCTGTTGGACTGAGTTTCAGGGGTTCCTTCCCTCTCTGTTTTGTGGAACAGTGTGGGGAGCATTGGTGTTGGCTCTTTTTGCAGCTCTGCGAAAGTCAAGAGTGAAGCTATCTGGTCTTGGACTTCTTTGTTGGGAGCCTTTATTGTTGCTTCAGCCTTATTGGTTGTTATGATATATTTAGCTTTTTAAAAAATATCCTGTTGATTCACTTTTAGTGGGCATAGGTGTCTACAAATGGATTCATTTGTTCTACATTTTCAGGAGAAATAAAATAGTCTGTAACAATCTTGCAGATTTGAATAGATTTAATATCATCCAAGGGACTTTTTAAAAGAGTGATTGTTTAGCTTTAACTTAGAATTTACAGTAGATTATCTGGGCATAAGGCAAGGGTGGACTCCTGTCCCACCCGGAAGACGCTGTGTGAGGGAAGTGGAGGACAGTCACCGTGCGGTATCACGGATGTGTGGGGGCTGCAAGGTTGATCTCATGACGGCAGAGAGTGAGGAGCGGCCGAGACTGCACAGCGCACAGGGAGGGGCGGGGAGGATGGGCAGCTGGTGGTGTAGAGCTGGAGGAAGAGCTCCTGTGTCCTGCAGCAAGCAAGGTGAGTGTGTGGACATTGGCTACCTGCGCATTTCGGAATGCTGAGCTGACGATCTCCTGCGTTTCCAGCACAAAGGAATGAAGAAGGTTGAGGTTGGCTGGAGATGCCGGTTACTGCTAGAGCGCGGCGCACACACAGATGGGAGCACAGCACTCTGCCGCATGAACACGCACAGTCATGTGCGTCAGCTGAACATTTAAGATCGTCTCGATGGCTGCGGTGTTAACCTCCCGTCATTTTCCCCAGCCCTTCAGGAGGATCACCTGCGTGCCCCAGGCCCGTGGATAGTTGGCCTCTCCGCAGCAAGGTCCCCCGCTGGTTCCACGAGGGGTGCAGCGGGTTCCTCAGAGTGGGCGAGCACCCAGCGAGAGCAGCAGCCTCATCAGCACGGTCCTGTCGCAGAGGTGGACGGCGCTGAGCAAGGGCACCGAGCTCGCTGTAAATGCGCGGTTGCCGTCTGAGCCCTGCGGGGAGGGGCTGTGTGGGGTGTGGAGTGTTAACAGCTATACATGGCCCCGGGTGTGTGTGTGTGTGTGTGTGTGTTCTGGGCTTTGTACACATAAATTAGCTTATCGATACCCTTCCCTCCCTTAGGGTAACACACTTCCTGCTGCCCAGCTGTGGAAGTCTCGCACAAGAAGATGTAAGTTGTTCACTGTTTCCTCCGAGGGGAAGCAGGAGAGTGCAGGCGGGAAGACATGGGAATGGGCTCCCTGCCCGCTTAAGCCAGCAGCAGAAGACACCCTGGAAAAGATCTTTCTCCCTCGGAAAAGTCTCCACAACATCGCAGCATCCCGCAAACCCTTCCCGAGGCCACGTTCACAGCACACAGCCCGCTGCTGTGTCCCGTCAGAGGAGCAGGAGCCCAGGGCCCACTCCGGCCGCGTGGGAGCCTCGCTGACCTCAGGGACGTGGCCCGGGGCACGAGGGCAGGCGTCTCCTCTGTAACCCTGCTCTTTCCTGTTCCCGGTGCCCACACCCTGCACAGGCACGGGCACACGGCAGTCACTTCCACTGTCGGGCAGGATTTGTCTGTGCCCCTCTGGCTTGCACGTATTCCTTGTGTTCTGACAGCAGAGCACGGCTTCGCGGTCTCTTCAGTCTGGGTGCGGAGTCTGAGCAGCATGCACTGTGGGTCTGTGTATTTCTGGATATCCTGTTCAACTTTGCCTCCTCCGTGACTCCCCAGACGGGACCCGGACGGAGGCACAGGACAGCTGCAGGGCCCTGCTCCTGCTGTAACCGTGCCCCTGCCTGGGCGGCTGTCCCTCTTCCCTGACTCCAGGCTGCCGCCTCTGCCCGTCCTTCCCCCAAAGCCCAGCTGGACCTAGGGCCGCGTCCCTTGCGGGAGTGAGGGCAGCGAGTGGGCTCCCACGCCGTGTCGCTGTGCAGAGTGGACACAGCGCTCACGCTGTCTGCAGCTCCTCGCAGAGGTTGCTCGGACGAAGCAGCTGTAAGACAAAGTCAGCTTGTTTGAAAGTTGCCCACCCAGTTTTCAGCTAAAAATTATAAAACCAAACACAGAAGTTAGCCCCGGACTTTACTGTTTCATACTTTACAGTTAAATTGGATTTACGTTGCAAAATCTGCAGTTATCTGTGTGTGACTCTTAAATTCTTCATTGAGTGCAGAAATTGCCTTCTTATACAATTTTAAACCTCAGTGCTTCCGGTGTGCACTCATAATCGGAAGATCCAAAGGGCATATAAAAGCAAGGCGTCCACCTTCCTCCTCCACCTCAGCCCAACCTCTTCCTGGAATGCTGTTCAGGACAATTTTCTAGCTCATTGACCGATTTCTTCAGTCTCTGCTGGGTGGCTTTGCAAATTGCTTCCATCACCCTTTCCCCCAGTTCCTCTAAGCAACACGCCTTCACTGAGTAAGCAGCCGGCGCATATCCTGCCCAAACCCAAAGCTGACGAAACTGCCGTGTGCACCGGAGCGTGAGAAGAGCGGGTCTGGACGCTCCTTTAGGGAGCGGTTCGCGTCTCCAGCTGCCGACGTTGTGCATAGCGATGGCTGCGGCGCCTTCGGGAGTCACAGACGTGTGATCTCGAGTCTCGAAAGCTCTTGCTTGTTAATGCCTCGGGCTCACACCTGTTTTCCATGGTCTCTTTTCACAGATCTCTGTTCACACTCACGCTCACACACAGAGTATTTAAATGTGAATTTCTCCTTGTCTTGGTTACTTTTCTCTCTTTGCTGAGGCAAAATACCTGACACCCAGAATTAAGGAAGGAACGGTTTATTTAGCTCACAACTTGTGGAGGTTTCAGATCATACTCTGCTGGCTCCAAGGCAGGGTGACGCATGGCAGAGGGCAACAGTTCATGGTGGAGGAAGACAGCAAAACCAGCAAGAGCAAAAGGAGGAGTGGGGGCAGGCAGCCTCTTTGTCTCCCTTACTTAGGCAAACTATCCGCCCCAGGGCTGGTGTAGCACTCACACCCATGAGTCAATCATAAACTCTAGAAGCCCGCCCCATGACTGCATGAGGCTTTGGGAGGACATCCAGAACCAAACCATAACACTCCCTCCTGAGCCCACTCTCACTGCTAGGCCAGAAACCTGCTCACACCCGGTCCCGCGGTGCATACGTACTCGCCCGGTCTGCGCTGCTTCTTGTGTCCCCAGTCACAGATGCGCCATAAGCAATTAAGCGCTCTGCTGCTGGGTGTGTGGGCTGCCGTCAGTCTCTGAATCCAGAGGAAGGGGAGGAAGGAAGCAAGGCAAAGGTGAAGGAACGAGGGAAGCTCTGTGACGCCATTGTGTAATTTAAGACGTCGACCCTGTCAGTTGCAGGACAGGGCTGGGGCGAAGATGCTGGCCAGAAGGTCACTGCCACGTGGGTGCTGGAAGCATGTCCTCCTCACAGGCAATCCTGTGCACCCCTCCAGGAAGAGCTCTGGCCTGAGCTCAGCAGGTTACAGACAGCAGTGGACAAATGCAAACGTCCTCTGACTCCTCCTCCAGTGTGCTGCTGCGTATCCCGGGGCCACCGAGCTCTGCAGCTATGGCCTGGCTGCAGCCTTCTCAGAGCCTGAGGTCTACTCACCCCCACACACCCCTCATCCTCTCCCCAGATGTGGTGCGTGGCCCACACAGCCTTTGTGCTCTGCGCTCCTGTCATCCTCTGTGGCCAGAACCCACACGTCAGGCTAGGGTCCGCACGTGCTCTGCTACTCAGAGTGGCTCCTCCTGCCTCCGTGTTCTGCGACAATGCGTGGCTGTACGAGAGGCCACTGTCCCTCCTGCTCTGCACATCCCTGGACTCAGGCTGCTGTCTCCCCTGGGCCCCGGGTGTCTGGCTGTACCATGTCCTTCCCTTCCTTGTCAGGCCAGCATCACGCGCAGCTTCAGGGGTCCGGGCCCCCCTCCACTCGTGAGCACCTTTCTCCCTGTGGGTGTCACCTTCCAACCTTCCTAAGACCCACTTCCTCCAGGGACTGGATGGGGACCAGGCTCTCAGGGAAGACCTTGCTTCTTTGTGTGTGTGTGTGTGTGTGTGTGTGTGTCTTTTTGTGACAGGGTCTCGATATGCAGTTCAGGCTGCCCTTGAGCTCACTTTGTAGCCCAGGCTGGTCTCAGATTTGCAGCGATCCTCCTATCTCAGCCTCCTAAGTGCTGGGATTGTAGGCCACCATGCCCGGCTAGGATTTCTGTCCTTCTGTGATGTGATTCTGTTATTCTGCTTGTAGGGAGTATGCTGTTTCCTTTTTATAGATGGGAAATTGAGTCACTGTGACCTTCAAATAACTTCCATTGGCTTACACAGCTAGCTTAGGGACAGAAATATATAGCACAGAATTCTGGAATGTACCTTCTGATTTATTTTATACTTTGTTGGCTTTTTAAAAATCTAAGTCTATTCCACAGGGTTTGAACTGACTAGCAGGTCTGAAGTGAAGTGTCGGGCATTGTGGGAGGAGGCTCCCTGTTTTGGAGGGGCTGGGAAGAGACATTAGGACTGTCCACTATGGGCGCGCTGCCTCAGGTTCAGCAAGGGCACGGCTAGCGGAACACCAGTCTAATTTTAGAAGGGACAAGAGGGGCAGGCACGGATGTGAGGTTTAATCAAAAGTGCTCTTGTTCAGATGTTAACAGGTGGCTATCAGGCCCCATGGGTCTGGCATGCTCAGCCTTGTTATCTGAGGGGCACATGGTGTTGGAGCCCAGCTCCGGTCACCAGGCGGATGACTCAGAGCCACGGCCGCTGAAAGCCTGTTGGAAACAGAATTCCAGGGTCTGCAAGGAGCCAAGAGCCTTGCACACACTCCCTGAATAGCAAGCGATAACGGCCTCTATCAGAACAACAGGGCACCTGGCTGTGCTCCGATCCATTAGGGTCGGGTGTGAGCGGGTGAGGCAGATGCCTTGTCGAGAAATGAAGTCTGTCCTGCGCTCAGACTCTTCCTGAAGGTGACCTCGAGAGCACAGGGCGGCCTGTTTTCAAGGTCAACCTTGGCACGAGAGCATCCAGGGCAGGGGTTGCAGCCATGAGCCATCCCCGAGCCTGGGCTTCGTCCGATGGCGGGGACCACAACCTTTCCCTGTGGCAGCCAGAGCGAGCCAGGCAGAGCTGTGGGAACCCACACCTTGGGCTCCGAGGGCTTCTTGGGCCTGGCCGGCTCCTCAGAAGGTTGCATAGGGCTCCAGCCACCGGGTCTTCACCGGTGCAGACGTAACCACAACACACATCAGTGCAGATTCTTGTCTGGAGGTGCTGACCCTGGGTCCAGCCCTGGTCCAGGTGCAGGGTGCTGTGAGGTGGGCAGGTGCTCCTGGGCATCCTAGTGGCTGTTTCTGCTTGGAGAGGGTTCTACAATGTCCTGCCCTGCCCTGGTCCCGAGGACTTCCTTACTCTTGGAAACCTCAGCTTTTTCTCCAGAGTGACTCCAGGGAGTGCATGTTTCAGGCTGCCGGGGACCGAGGAACCCTGGGTGGCCAGAGCAGAACATAGCCAGGGGCCTGGGGCTGAGCACGCTTAGCACAGATCTCACGCCCACGGCTGTCCACTTGGGCTGACCTGTCCTTGACCTCAAGGGCTGCCATCATGGACTTTACCCATCGTTCAGAGAAGGGCAGATAGCCCAACACATGTGACGACATCCCAAGGCCTGACAAGGGTGAGTCTGAGAAATGCGACAATATCGCCGGACTAAACTTGGTAACTGTAGAGGTCTCTGAGCTGTAGGTTCACTTCCTCTCATGCCTAGAGCAAAGCTCTTTAGCCTTTTTTTTTTTTTTTTCTTTTTCTTCCGGTATCAGGAATTGAACTCATGACCTTCCGCTTGCCAGGCAGGCGCTTTTGCTGCTGAGCTAAATCCCCAGCTCTAAAGCTCTTTAACCTTCACAGGAAGTGATTCCCTCAAGGGCCCTACTGGTGATGTGCCTGGAAGCAGCTGCTGGTGCCGGGAGCCTGTCCCAGGTAACAACACCCTCCCAGAGGGCCGAGTGCGCAGAATGCACTCACCGTGGTTTTGTTCTTTCTTGTGACAGCCCTGTACCTCTCTGAGAGTCTGAAATAGCCAAGCACGTGCTGAAGAGCAATCCAGACAGCCTAGCCCGGGACAGAGCCAGTGTCCTCCTGGAAGGGTCGGCCTCCAGCTCCCCCTGTGGAGAGTGTGGGGCGGGGCTGGAAGCTGAGCCGGCTGGAGGCCTGTGCACTGCTTTGGCCAGGAGGACACATGGACCCTCTTTCTCCACTGCCGAGGGCAAGGGCAGGGGCTCGGCAGGCAGAGGGTGGGCACGGGGCTTCCCGTTCTCACACGGGGCGGGGTGCTCACCGGTGCCAATATCTGTGGGGACCTTTGGATGTATGCCTGATATGTGGGGACCTTTGGTTGTTTGCCTGATATGCTACAGGGTACTTCAGGAAATTAAAATGGGCTTTAGTAGGTATATTCATCGTAGAAAATAATTAGGCAGTTTCTTAAAAATTTAAATGCGCATCTCTCCTACAACCCAGTAATTCCTCTCCTGTGTATTTATCCAATAAAACATGAAAACATACATTTGCTGAAAGCCTTGTAGGAGAATGATCTCGGCAGCTTTATTCAAAATAGACAAACTAGAAATAGCCCACATGACCTTCAGCGAGGAAGGGCTAACGAACAGTGTCCACCCACACCCTGGATACTACTCTGCAACGAAAACGGGTGAATCTCCAAAAGCTTACACTGCGTGAAAGAAGTCACCCCACAGTGTGAGAACAGCATGATTCCACTTAATGAATGGTGGGCAGGACTGATTTAGGCCAATAAAAGTCAGACCAGCAAGTGCTTGGCTGGGGTGGGAGGGACACCGGGAGCCCGGGGGACAGAAACGTTCTGTCTGCGTGTGAATTACTACAGACTGCCCCAATGGAAATACCTAGCATTTTAGATCTATATAAATGAATGAGCAATATAAGTTAAATCCTGACCATTTATTATCTTCGTAGGCTAATGTGAGAAAATACTTTCAAATTAAAGTTAAATTTGCTCATCTACAAAACGGGTAAGAGTACCTGACTGAGAATACTGTACGGGA